TTATCTACATCGGTTTAGAGCTAGCCCAGCTCATAATCACCGTTATCTACATCGGTCTAGAGCCCAGCTCGTAATCACCGATTACCTACATCGGTCTAGAGCCTATCTCGTAATCACCGATTATCTACATCGGTCTAGAGCCCAGCTCATAATCACCGATTCTTTACAATTCAATTTCTTAGGACTAGTTCCATTAATTATTCAACTAACAATTCCGATTAGTATTTCAATACTAGTCGTTTGTTCGTTTCAATTTAATTCCTCATCCATGTGTAATTTGGCCTTAATATCAAAATATCACTTATATGCTTTCATGACTTCTTCTCATGAAATAAAAGTATATTTGTCACAAATAAAATTCATGGTTAATACAACCATCATACCATCATATTCATAACACATAAACATACACAATTTATTCATAAATTTGTATATTATGCATACTATACTTATAATCAATAGTCATTTCATTTAGGCATTATTAACCATTAATAATCTATGAAAATCACATTTTATTCATTTAGGAAATCTTATGAAATTAACCCAATAATTATAAGCAATACAGTCGGTCATCCTCACCTTGAATTAGCGTTATGAAGTTCTACCCTTCTTGGTTGAACTTCGGCGAAACTCCGACGACTTTTGATGAACTCTTTCGACAACTCCGGCGACTCTTTCAACTCCGTGAAAGCTCTTGAAATACCTTATAAAAGTTCCTAACAAGGTTTTATAATCATAAAACCCATATTAATACAAATAACCTCAAAAAGGTTATTTTCCGGCGAACCGGTCGTTTTGGCCTCTAAGTCCGCTCTTGGACATATAACCACTTTCCAACCCATTAATCCACACTCATATCATGTAGAACAATCCTAATGGTTCTTCATATGATATGTACCTCATATGATAGAAGAAAAATAAAGGAAAAGTTATGATAAGGTCATTACCTTAATTTCCACACTTTCTCCTAGCTTTTTCCTTCGTTAATCTTCCTCCTTGGAACACCTTAGGTTGAGCTCGAATTTGGGCTATGGAAGATGAGTTTTCAGAGTTTATCTTCCTCTCTTAGTGTGCCTTGGCCGAACTAATGAGTGAGGGGGAGTTGGAGTTTGCTCTTTTGTCTTGGAAAAAGAGCCCGTGGGTGTACCTTTGATGCTCATCACCTCACCCTTCTTTCCTTCCAAGTCAACCAGACCTTTCCTTGTCTAATTCATCACACAAAAACGTGGGGTGGCCCCCACTCATGTGGGAGGTCACCCCTTTGTGTCCCAAAATGTACATTCGGCCTTGAAAGTTGTATTTTTCGTACTGTTTTAAATATATTTTATTTTATCGGGTCGAATAAAATATATTACATGCTCTCCATCATTATTGTCCTTATAATGAATATACATTCCCCAAATTTAATTTACAAGCCTCCGAAATTTAATATACATTCCCCAAATAATTACCAATACCGGTAATTGAGCCTAGTTTGACCAATTGGTCAACATTATGCTCTTTCCTTGGCCCAAATAACATATCCACCACTATATAGATATTATCTCGATCAATAAGAATAAAATATGTGGTCTCGTGAATATCGGGCAGGCCCTGCTCCGGTGTGGGCCCCACGTGTAAATTTACTACTCACGCGGAAGAATTAATAAAAATTTACAACTTCGTAAATTCATTAACCATTCCATAAGGTTCAATACATTAATTACTCAAAAGTAAATATAATTGGGGATGGTGTTACATACATGATAGTATGAAATTAACTTTATATTAAACTACAAACGGAATTTATCATATCTTCATTTTACTTACATAAGTGGATAAGAGTGTATGACATTATTTAATCAAAATACTAAAGTTGAGTTTCAATAGTATTGAATTTGATTCCATTAAAAAAATATTGTTATAATTACTTTAATATTTTCTTAGATTTGAGATATATTTAGTATTTTCTTACAATTTCATCCACTTCAAACTGATTAACGTTTCTGTGATTGTTCTTATTTGATCTATATATTTATTATATTAATTCTAATTGTAGTCTTAGAATATACCTTTAAATAATTAAGAAATATACCTTAACTTTCCTATAGTTATACTCTTAAATCTATATACATAGATATGTTAGTTGAACATTTTCAGCTTCTTAATGTCTATGCGCAATTAAACACAAATTAGACAAATTAATCCTACGATTACATGGATAATTACTTGAGTAATCACAATCTTAGAAATATAAAATTAATGATTACACAAAGTTTGGAAGTAGAGATTTTGAATAAAAACTTATTTTAAATATTTTCTTATATTTATGCACTTCTAATTTTATTTTAAATACTTTCCAATATTTCCTCAGGAAAAAGTGCAGGATAAAAGTTTCTTATTCTATAATTTAGCTTGTCTCCGTCTGATCTAAAGTTGTTCACATTTCAATGTAGACAGTTTTCTTTGATGTTAACCTTTGGAGATGGTTGGTGATTTCATACATCGTCCGTGTTTCACTCATGAACAATTTTACGTCGCGATCTCAAGAGTAACGTCCCCGTTAGGATTGAACTTTATTATATGTGATGATCACAGAAAACTGGTAAAGAAGACTTTAAATGTTGTTAACAAGGAAGTACTCCACATATAATAATTTATTATTTTCTATCTTCATTTACTTATTGTTAAAAACAATATATGCATTGTTCTATCGTTGTCACAACATTTTTATATATTCAAAACTAGTCTAATCTTTATTAACTGCATCTCGTGCGAAGCACGGGTGAAAATCTAGTCCTTATAAGCATGATCCCTTAATAATAGTTAATGCCTTTATTAAACAAAGGCTAAAGGGTCCAATAGGCCCCTGTACCTGTTCGGAATGCTCAATTAGCACCCCGAACTCAAAAAGCTCCAATTCACCCCTGAACTCTCCAAAAAAGTTCAAATCCCATTTTTTGCAGGTAAAATTCCGGTCATCGCCGCGTCAGCTGGTTAGATGCCAACTATGCATCCCACATGGAAATCTAAGGGGTCAAATAGACCTCTGAACCCGACAAAGTTGTTCAATTTACCCCCTCAATCGTTGAAAAGTGTCCAAATTGCTATTAAAAATATGAAATTAAAAAATAGGGAAAAAATAAAATAAAATGATATACAAGTTCATAATATAAAACATAGATGTCTATTTATAATATAATAATATTGTTTTTATATTTCAGGGTAAATTATATATATATATATATGTATGTATATATATATATATACATATATAAACATAATGAAGGTACTTATTTTTTAAATACATATTATAAAAATGTAGTAGTCCCTAGCTATTTACATATTATAATTTTTATATAGTACAAATTTTTTATGCTAAATATAATTAGTATGAAGTATAGTACGTAGTATATGATTCTAGAATAAAATAATATGAAGTATATATACATATATGCGTGTGTGTGTGTGTGTAATTTTACATATAAATCTAAAACATATTAAAAATATGAAAATAGTTTTAATGAATTTCTTTTAGTTTGTTTTATATGAATTTACTGTAAATATAAATATATCCTTATTTTTTGCAGTAAATTCACATAAAACAAAACAAAAAAAATTCGTTAAAAATATTTTGATATTTTAAATCTATATAAAAAAATCAACCATACATTTTTTATAATTTAATTTTAAATTTTTTAATATTTTGTCATATTATAAATAGACTCATAAATATTTAAAATATTAAATTTACCCTAAAAATAAATAATTTATTGTCATATTATAAATACACTCATATATTTATATGTTCTATTTTTTATTTTTTATTTTTTAATGACAATTTGGACACTTTTTAACGGTTGAGGAGGTAAATTGAACAAGTTTGTCGGGTTCAGGAGTCTATTTGACCCCTTAGATTTCCACGTGGGATGCATAGTTGGCATCTAACCGGGCATATTAACGATAGAGATCAAACTATATTTATTATACTACGTATGTTGTAAAAATGAGGGACGATATTTGTAACATGTTGCACACTTGCACAGTTGCATTATTAGAGAGCAATAAATTCACAAAAAAAATTAACAAAATTTCATCTACTATTAACAGCATAAACAACAAGGACTAAACTTATACGCAGTAATTGGTTTCATTATTAAGGGATGACATCATGACATTGTTAAAATTGAAATATATAGATCAAATTTCAATATAAGGGATAGATGAATAATCAAATGTGAGCTTTTCCATATTTAATACTATGACTATAGTGCGAGAAAAGATTGGCATCAATGCAAATGTAAAATAATCAGTCATTCAGTCTACAAATGTTCTCTTGCTACTTATTTTAAGTTGCGAGTTTTTTTTTTTTTTTGAATCATTGTTTAATACATGAACAATAAAATCAAGAGGAATGGATAACCAAAAGGTCCAAAACCGGCAACCAGACTCAGAACCGGCAGCCTGAGTGAACCCAAGAGCTACCCTGTTCGCAGATCACCTAACATGACCAAAGGAAACATCAGAAATCCTTAAACAAACATCACGGATGTCTTCTGCTATCAAGCCTGCTGCTGAAATGCTTGATCCCTCACAACCCTCACCGCATCGGATTTCACATCAATAAACTCCCATCCATGCTCCTCAATCCAGCTAAGAGCCTCTCTAATCCCAAACAATTCAGCCTCCCAAGGAGATAAACGACCTTGAAGAGCTTAGACTGTAATCAGTATATGAAAAATACTCACCAAGTCCACAAATGTTTTCTTCCTGCTCTTTAAAAGAAATGCACTGTATCTTGATTCTACTGTTCTAAATAAATCCTGAACTCATAATCTCATCATTTAAAAAAAATGTAATGTTTTGGGGATGACAATTCAGACTGAGGATCTTTCATCAGAGGTTAACAGATCCACACTTCATAAGATCTTCATACAGTTTGAATATCAATACGAAATATTTGATGATTCTATTCAGTCTGATTGAAAACCTAAGCACATAACCAATTTCAAATAAATCCCCAAGAAACAAACTATAGCATTCGCTGAGCAATCAAAACCATGGGCTAGAGGTGCAATAAAATACGGATAGTCTACAAGAAATTAGATTCTTTGAGAACAATTCCACTCAAACTGCCAGATTACAGGCCCTTTTTAGCTTCTTCTAACTCCGGTTGAACTGGAGTTAAAAACATAACAAAAGTCAACCTTCCAGAGCATCAACAGAATAAAATCATATGGGTTTGATTTTAAAGTGGAGGGAGATTAGAGAGAACACAAAGCACTTTAGATCCTGCAACAAATAGCAAAAACAAAGGTTAAAAAGTCATGAATGAAAGCATGTGTATGTATGATGTTTTCAATTAGGCTAGAATTTCCAAAGCTCGCCTGATCTGGTATGTTTACGCCTATTATGATCTAAATCGGTGGAGTAAGACCTGCTGTTAGGTTTATTTTAATCTAAATCTGATCTGTTCAAGTCTGTTATTATGTAGTCAGCTCATGTACGATCTTGTCATGTGAAACCAGTCCATGTAAAACCATCCTAAAATTAAAATGATGCTATAACATCAATATGTTTTTATAGATTGACTGGGATGAAGCTAACAAAAAATAAGGTAACTATCTTTATGACACACGAAGAACGGAAGAATGTTATTGTATCTTTGACTTAAAAGTTAATGTTCAATATTCAGAACTGATAATCAAACGTCAGGTCTTGATGTGTTAGTAAATATGATAGTAAACTATATGCATTTCATCAATAACTAGAATACAAAAATATATCACCAGACCTGATAAATTGCATGAGGGATTCTTTTATACTCCTTTAGGCGATGATCAATCTTTTAAAGTTTGTATTAAAACCATGTTACCTTTTGTTGATTTGACAAAACATCAAAGGATAAAAAAAACCAATAAAACACAGAGAACCATATCCTTTCAAAAAGCCAACAAAACATAATTACAACGTATTGAAGAATATATTAAAGCTGTAAAAAACATCCATTATATGAAAATTGGTGAGCATTTCCTGCACATACAGCTGCACCACCATAAATTAATCTGTATTCTGATATATGTTTGAGATTTTATAAGAATTGAAAGATCCCTGCAAATTCTTCTACTCTAACACCTCCATCCAAACTAACCCTAAATCACTAGTGTTTTACCTGAACAAGATAATAAAATATGCGAAGGCCTTCTGGATCTTTACTGGTCTGCACGTCCATTAGGGATCCAATCTTAGATGTGGTAAAACATATGTGCTCATTCTCCAGCACAATTTCAAGCTCCTGCCTCCCCACACGGTCAGGTTCGGGCCAGTTGCTGTCATCTTCTTTCATAATCTATAATAAATACATCCATGGGACTAGTCATTCTATACAAGCACGTAAAGTACATTAGGAACAGACAATGCAGTGTACTAAGCAGAAACAATTTGAAACCACTCTCTACTAAGAGACAGCTAGAGCTCAGTTTGAACACAGGTTCAATTCCACATTTTCACTTTCCATGTAGATTCAATCGAAAGTAAAGTGATTGAGTCAGTATTTCCCCTACTGAAATTCTACATTCCACGTTTTCAAGTCTACAAAGAAAAATGATTACTTTTTACAACAGAAATTAAAGAGACAGTATTTCCTAGCATCATTAATCATTAATATTGATGGATAGTCTACCCGGGGGTATCTTATCCGAGGGTTATTGCTGGAATAACTAGAGAGAAGTCAGAGCAAAATAGGAGGAAAGAGAGTCGATTTATTAAATGAACTCAGCGTGGTTTACAAGGCGAATAAGGGCTGCTATTTATAGCAGCAATAAATGCGATGAGGGTACACGTGTCAGTAATCCAACGGCCGAAGGGTCACATCAGCCTGGTGGCACCGGCAGTGGTACGTTCACCGCATTGAATGCGGTTGGCGGATGTGACGTGGCATTAAATGCGGTGGTTGGCTGTCCCAAAAGGAATCTTCGATGATTGAGCATGTTTGGCCGAAGGCTTCTTGTGTAGCCGAGGGCTCCGTGTAACCAAGGACCCCTGTGTAGCCGAAGGCCCCGAGTGGCAGAGGGCTAAGTTCAGCCGAAGGCTCCCCTGATGCCGAGGGCTTGGCAATGCCGAAGGCTCATGTTTTTCGCCGTTTTCTCCCAGTGGCTCCGTATGTCAGAGAGGGCTACTTCGTGAGTTTCTGGAGCCTTCGGCCAAGGAGGCCGAAGGCACCCCAGTATGTATTTCGGGCTATTTTGGGGCTTGGGCCGTTGCTTTTGGGCCTGAGTTGTTCTCTGGGCTCATTGGATATGTGTAGCAGAAGTAGGAGTCTATGGGCCGGGGGTTCTTGGGCCATATACTCCATCAGGAGTCCCTCACTCCTTTTGCCGAAAGGTACTTGAGGGAAAAGGAGTAGTTGTGTTGATTCTCCCGGAGGCTGCATCATTTCGTTGGGTGCCTTTGTTGGAGAGTTCGTCTTCTGCTGATTCCCGAATGCTTCCCTCAGGCCCTCACATGTCGAGGGTTTTCTGAGGGAAGGTATTCATAACCTTCGCATGTTCGCCGGGGGCTCCCCTCAGCCCTCACATGTCGAGGGCTTTCTGAGGGCAGTGTAACACCTGTATGACTGCAGAAGGCTTTTCCCAGTCCCTCACATGTCGAGGGTTTTCCGGGGGAAGCATAGATGTATTGCCTGCACGTGTTGTGACGAGGGCTGCCTCATCTCCGCAAGTGACTTGTGGAAACTTTTGATATTCTGTCCCCGCCGAAGGGTGTGATTCCCGAGGGGTGTGTCCCAGTCCCTCACTCCTTTTGCCGAAAGCTACTTGAGGGAAAAGGAGTTATGATGAGTTCACGAGCCCCCGAGGGGTGGTAACATTGATAGGCCGAAGGCTTATGTCGCTACTGGCTCGAAGGCGTTTTGGTGAATTTCGCTGGTAGAAGGGTGTGGTGAGCGATAGCCGGAGGCTACCATCCGAGGGTACGCCAGTGTTGCCGATATGTAGCCGTTGAAATAGAGCCGTTGCAAGAGGGGTCGACGTGGCCGGCTGCCGTTGGTTGAAGGTGGGCGGTATCCACCTATTGGCTGAACCGGCGGCCCGTAATGATGGGCTTTTGAATTGAGGCCCAGTTCTCGAGGCTGAAAGCCTATAAATACCCCAAGTCTCAAGCCATTTCCATTGTGCGTCCTTAAGCTATAGCGAAGCTCTGCCCAATTTTCTAGAGAGAGAAAGTAATCCCTTCGATCAAAAGCAACTTTCGAGGTCAGTTCTTCTTCAGTTCTTCGAATTCCTTAGCATACTTTGCCATTTCCTCCATTTGATTTAGTGTTAGAGAATTTTTGGGAGCCTTCGGTTAGAGCATTAAGTAGCCTTCTTCCCTTAAACCCTTCAACTTCTCTTCGGTAAAATGTCAACCCAAAGCGATTCTCAAGATATCTCGAGGGAGCCCTCGGTGCAGCAAGAGGGCTATTCGGACGTGGAGTCCTCGAGTGAGACCTCCTCGGGCAGAAATGATTCTGCAGTGGCGCTGGAAGTCCAAGATAATCTCAGGACCGAGGCCGAAGCCGAAGACTTTGAACAAGTCGTTGAAGACGAAGAACTTGCCCTCGCCCTCCAAGTGGCCGAGGAGGAAGAGGAAAAGGAGCGGATGAAGGTGACTGTCGCCGCACTCCCTCTTCGTGGCGCCGGTGAAGCTAGTAGCTCCCGGCCCCTGGATCCGGAACCGATAAGTGTCGCCCTCGGGAAAAAGAAGAAGAAGATCCTGGCGGCCCCGAAGAAAAAACAGGCTGCAATTGACGCGGGTCAACCGGTGGGAATACCCGAGGGCCACTCGTATCTGAACACGGCGGCCCTTGCGCTGAAGACGAAGGCCACAGCCTCCGACTATCAGGCCACTCAGGTCCTCGTAGGACCCTTCGCACAAGTAGTTGAACCGGGGCCAAATGATTTGCTGCTGAATCCTCCGGAAGGGTGCTTCTCAGTGCATATACTTTCCGTGGATCTAGGCCTTCGATTTCCGCTCCACCCCTTTCTGCTGGAGTATCTCAAGTTCGTGGGACTGGCCCCCTGCCAACTTACCCCCAATAGCCATTCATATATTAGCGGGTTCCTGTCGCAGTGCCGGAGCCGGGAGGTGGAGCCGACGTTGGACCAATTCTTCCTGAGCTTCAACTTGTGCCGAGGGGGGCACGCTAACAGCGAAGGGTTCGCCAACCTCCAGCAGGTGCCTGAATGGAGGATTTTTTCTGAGGTGCCCTCGTCACATAAGGGTTGGAAAGAGAAGTTTTGCTATCTCCGTATGGACGCTAATCCTTTCCCGGAGCCTCTCCGCCATCACTTTCGAAGGCATTTGAGGGTCCGGAATGCTTCCCTTGATAAAAATGGCAAAAAGCTGGCGGCGAAGCCGAAGGGATCGGATAAGCTGATGTCTATTAAGGCGGCCACCCTTCCGGAAGAGATGTACAAGCTGGGATTTCGTCGGTACCGTCTGCCGGGGGATAAGGATGAGACACTCCCCGTGATTGACCGAGTCTACCAAAGCATTGGAGGTGTTTACAGGAGGCTCCTTACTTTGTGCTTGGGCATTTCTTTGTCTTGTATCCGTAACCTGACACCTGTATGCTTATATTATCTCTTTTTCTCTTTTTTTACAGGTCCGGACATGGATGCCAAGTCGCTTGCCTTACTGAAGAAGCAAATGGCGAAGGAGGCCAAAAAGAAAGGGGGGCCTCCTTCACAGAAGGCCGTTGACGAGTTCTTCCAGAAGCCGGGGGCTTCTAAAGACAAAGACGCTGAGGGCCCTTCAAAGGGTGACGCCGATGCCCATGTGGAGGCTGGGGGCTCCAAGATCGAGGAGCTGAAGCGAAAGAACACCGGGAAGGGCGTCATGCCTCCGGAGAAAAAGAAGAAGAAGTGTGGTGAGGGGAGAAAGGAGGCCCCCATCCTGATAGCCGAGGACCAGCCTTCTTCACATCCCCCGGCTAATACGCCCCCTCGTTCTCCTCCCTCTCCTTTTGATGAGGAGATTCGGCCGGCGGAGATTGTCCAGTTCCCTATCAAGTCGGGGACCTCCGTCTTGCATGGCACTCTGCACCCCGTCGGGTTCATGAGGGGAGTAATGTCCTCGAAGGACAAGTCCGTGCTGGCTCGCTTCGAGGATGATATCCTTGATTACAAAGTCGCCAGTTATACTACCATGGTGAGTTTTCTTCTCTCCTTTATTCTCCCCCCCTTTTTTTTAAAGTTTTCAAGTATCTCGGATATAACTTCATGATGTGAATTCTCTGACGCCGAGGTTCCCCCCTTTCTCTTTGCAGGCTGCCTTGGCTGCCTCCGAGCAAGCCCGGAGGGTGGAGCAGCTTAGGATAGCAAAGGGCCAGGCAGACGAGGCCCTAAAGAAATCTGATGAGGAGATCTCCGCCCTCAGGAAGCGGCTCGCTGATGCCGAGGAGGCCCTCCGGCTGGAGAAGGAGGACGTGGAACAAAGGCTAAGAGATGCCGAGGCCAAAGGTAAGGCCAGTGCTGAGGAAGCTGCCGCCGAGGCTGCCAAGGATGCCGCCATCAAAGCCGAAGAGGCCAGGAAGGAGGCGGCGCTCCAAGCTGAGAAAGATGCAGTGTCTGCCTTCGTCGCCGAGGGATGGCAAGCCGAGGAGCGGAAGCCTTGGGTGGATACCGTCGTGGAGGCTTCGGTCGATGCGTGGGTTAGGGGGCCCGGGGCAATGTGGCTTGCCCGGAAAGGCAAAGAGTACTATGATGGTGGCGAGTTCTTCACGCAATGGCTTGTCTACCGGAGGCTCGCTAGGCACCTCGGCGTTGACCCTAAGGAGTTTGACCCCTCGGCTCATGGCCTGCCCCCCCTTCAGCCAGATACAAGGGTTCCATTGCCTCCGGGCGTGGAGCGGCCTGATCTCGAGGACTCCGAGCTGATGAAGGAGGCTGGGGATGATGAAGATGCTGAAGACGATGCCGTTTCCAAACTGGGGGGTGATGTGGCTCAAGAAGCCCAACTTTGAATATATATCTTCTTAAGCTGAAACTTGTAATAGTTGATAGGCCTCGGCTTCGGCCATATTTTTGTAACGAAACACATTTTTGATTTTTCCTGTTGAATGAATGATTGCCTTCGGGCTTTTTGTATGGATGAATGCCTTTGTCTCTTTCATGTTCGTGTATGAATGCTTTCCTTCACTTGGATGAATGTATTTTTTCCTTCTTTAGTCTGGCTTCCCGAAGGCCACAAGTTTGTGGACTTAGAGAATTTTCTAAGTACAACTTGATCAGAACCCTTCGGATGTAGAGTAGAATAGCCGGAGGTTGTTGATGTGGACTTAGAAATCTTTCTAAGTGTAAGCCCAATCAT